AAAGAAAGAAAGAAAGAAAGAAAGAAAGAAAGAAAGAAAGAAAGAAAGAAAGAAAGAAAGAAAGAAAGAAAGAAAGAAAAAACAAAAACCACAGGCCATCAAAGAGGGGGCAGAGGGGGGCGGGGGAAATAAAGGAGGGCCACTGAGTTGCACAGCTCAGGGGTGTCACCCAGATTGCAGTCTGTGTAAACAGCGCCCCTGGGGATAGGCAGATGTGTGATTCATGGTGAGGCCCAGAAAGATAAGACCGCTCCACTGAATTCTGAGGGAAAGGCAAACAGCCAACTTGACTCCATACTTGGAGGCAGAGGCATATGGGGGCAGGGGACGATGTATGCAGGGAACTTATACCTAGTAGCCCCTACGTGTGCTAGGTAAGGTGAGTAAGTTATCACATATCCCTGCCAAGTACTCAGCATGAAGGCCTCAGTTTTCTCTTTATTACAGTAAAAGCTTCCCCTGCTAAGGTGAGCATTTTTTATCTTGATCAGCTTTGTTTATTGTTTGTTTTTAATTTGGAAGCCTTTACACAGGGTGAATTCACTGCAATCCCCCGCAGCTCCACCCCACCCGGCAGCCACTCACTTTAGTTGACATCAGGGGTCTCCCCACACTAACAATTCCCAGCCAGTCAATGAATGTCCAGCCTTTGCTTTAAGCCAGTATTCTCCTTTGTGAATAACTGTGTTGGTGGGATAGAGTTAAGTGGAGAGGGCAAAGCTATTGGATTTTCGGAAAAATCATGACGCATTTTTGCAACGAAACACATAGAAAAAATACATCATGGCTTTCCTGACAACCCGATACCTGTAACCTTTGTTGGGTTGGGGGGGGAGTGGCGGTGGGGTCACCTAATTTTGATAAAAGCTTTATGAACTCACTCTTGAGTGAGGGGGTGGACAGACAGACATACAAACTTTGGCTCATCATTTCAGAGGGTTGGTGCACAGGCTCCAGAATTCTAGGCCCACCCCAGAGTCCTGGAGGTGAGTCACTGATATCACGCTGAGCAATACACTGCTAATCAGAGCTGGGTGGAAGGCTAGTGGGGGCAGGGGACAGTGACGGTCACTCAGTGGAGGCACAATGGTGCCTGTGCACTGGAACCCACAGGGAAAGAGGCCACTGTCATGACCTCACCTCTCAAACAACACCTTATGTTTAGTACATGTTTGTGAAGCCAAAGAAATATAAGGTAAATGCCTAGAGTTGGCCTTCTGTATCCATGGGTTCTGCATCCACCGGTGCAACCAAGCCCAGGTGGAAAATAATAGGGGGGTGAAAATGTTATGTTGCTGCTGATGTGGACTCTGCAGTTAGGCCTATGATGGTTGCCTCTCTACTGAACATATGCAGGCTTTTTTTTCTTGTCATTATTCCCTAAGCAATACAGTATGACAAGTATTTACATAGCATTTTCATTGCATTAAGTATTGTAAGTAATGTAGAGATGACTTAGAGTATATGGGAGGATGTGTGCAGGTTATATGCAAATACTACGCCATTTTATATAAGGGACTTGAGCATCTTTGGATTTGGGTATCACAGGGGGTCCTGGGAACAATCCCCCTCCCCTCCCGGGATACTGAAGGAGGATGCGCATGTGCATAGCCAGGGACAGAGCTATTACTCTAAACAGCACAACAAAAGCCACCTCATCAACCCAGTAGCAGACCCTAGCCAGCTTCAAAATTTTTTCCAATTCAGGTCGTTAAATGACTCTCCTAAGACCCTTTAGTTAAGATGTCCTATTAAGGCAGCATGTGTTAATGTCTGCAGACCCTCTGTGAGCAGCTGACCATCTTTAGGGAATTTTCCACCCATAACAGGCAAATTAGCTATTCATCTGTTCTTTAAAAAGAAAAAAAAAGGTTC